TCAACTTGATAAGTCTTTGAAAATGTCAAGATTAGGGGACAGTCAGATACATTATATGTTCATTTTGACATTATCCATTCAGTAAACTGGTTGGCTTGTCAAGTTGCATTACTTCCTAGCATTTTTCCTGCTATGTAAAGGAATCTACAAAGCTGTTAACTCCATAATTTCCAGATCACTGGGCTCACAGAGAAACATGCACCCTAGTGCCTCTTTTCAAGGCATTTCTAGATTATTATCTGGCTTTTTCAGTAAGGTGGTTTATTGGCAACCCCTTTAATCCCTAGAATCAGATAGACCTAAAGTCTGTTTTGTCATTTAACTTTGCATTGTACTTTGCACAATGATGTACTTAGCATATCACTGCTACATATGATCAAAGTGGTAAAGATACATAAAATGCTACCTACAGTTAAACAAATTGTAGTTACACATAGGAGCCAAGCAGAATTAAAAGATAAGTTCAACTGTTAACAAAAAATAATAAATGCACTTTTTTTTTGCTGGTAAAAAAATGTGCATTTATTATTTTTTGTTTGTGGACCCTCTAAGACATGGGTGTTAAACTCCATTTCATCGTATCAGCATTATGGTTGCCCTCAAAGGGCCGGTTGTATCTGTAAGACTAGATATCCAGAGCACCCCACTCCCCATTACATCAGATGTAAAGAATCCCACACCCTCCCTAACATTACCGTGCACCCCCTTTGGAAGCAAAGCTGGAAAGCAGAAAGTGCAGGGTCTGGAGGAGGACCAGAGGAGGAGTGGAGTCAGTTACCGGAGTCTGCTGAATGCTGAGACCAGGGAAGGCAGAGATGAGGGAGTGCTGCAGCTGCACTGAAAGGTGCAGAATTTGGCACAGTTCTATTCTCCTGTCTGCTGCCGACTGCTGAGACAAGAGGGGGGGTGGAGACAAGGGGAGACAAGGGGGTACCTGCAGGAGACGTGCAAGGGCCACATGAAATGGCCTGGAGGGCCAGATTCGGCCTGCAGGCCTTGTGTTTGACACCTGTGCTCTAAGGCATTGCACCAATGATCAGCAGATCGCTGGTGCCATGCAGGTCTCCCCCTGACCTGTCAGTATATCTGATTGATCGTACATCCCGTAGGGGCAAGCAGATACTTACTGATAGGAAGTTTCAATGAACTACCACGGCACTGTGGAGCGCCGTGGTAGTTTATTGAAAACTACAAGCCAACAGCTGCAAAGGCTGCTGGGACTTGTAGTTTTCCCATTCACACAGAATACTTTCTGATGCGGCCAGATGGCGGAGCCCTGCACAGCCATGTTTTTTAAAAATTATGACAGCTAGCAGGGAGGAGCACAGTGGCTTAGCTAAATAATGGCAGTACTTGTTGTTGGGTTGTTAGTTCAAATCCCAACCAGGGCACCACCTGCTTGGAGTTTGCATGTTCTCCCTGTGCCTGCATGGGTTTCCTCCCACACTCCAAAGACATGCTGGTAGGTTAATTGGCTCCTATCTAAATTTGCCCTAGTATGTGTATGTATGAATGTATGTTAGGGACCTTAGATTGTACACCCCTTGAGGGTTAGGGACTGACATGACTGTACACTATATATGTGAAGCACTGCGTAAATTGACAGCGATATATAAGTACCTATAATAATAAGTACCTTATTATTATTATTATTATAATAATAATTTGTCACAGCCCATGAAGGGAAAGTTATTGATGGTGCCTAAAAGATAGCAGATTACGAACTAGTAGCTTTATGATGACTTGATGTCAATAGTCACCAATCTATTGTAAGTTGCGTGAGGCTAACTTCACAATATTGGTATTCAGTTCACAAAAATAGTGTGGTGTAATCAACCATTGGACATATGGCTCAATTATTGGGTGCACCCACTTGGCTGGTTATGTATGGCTGGTGGGTGGCACATGTCTTTAACATAGTTTACTGAAAGGGTTCTCTGTCAAGCACTTGATGTACTGATATAATGCTGTGGTTATCTATATTGGTAATATTATTTAATATTATTTGATGCTATTGAATGATCAACTAATAAAATGTATATCAGGTATGGTTGAATTGAATTGCTCAGCTCTGTTAACAAAATCGTAACTTTCCAATGTTGAAACATGTGAAGTGTTATTTTTTTAGGGCAGCCTACCTGGCTCGGTTTTGCCCTAGTCAGAATGTTTTGTCAGTTGATTAAACTGATGTAAATGAGAGCTAGTGCTTAACAGTAACCTCCTCACTGGCAGGGGCCTTTTGTGCAAAGCTAAACAGATCTTTAGGCAGTTATGGTCTGAGAACTGTAGATAGCATTTGGAATTCCAGAATGAATATTTAAAGCAGAATTTTCACTCTCTCCATCAACATTGACTATTTTAATCCTTATGCTGCTAGCATTAGTAAATAGATGGGAAAGTATATCATATTTACTTGTTTTAAACTTTTTTTTTTATATTTCTCGAGTTACTTCTGGTTTCCAAGCCTATGCAAATGATGTCATACACCCCAGGAGTCTTCAGGAGGGGGAGGGGAGAAGGGTTTTCTCAGCTAAGTACACCCTCTTGCCTGCATGTCTGAGCGAAGGGCAGATGGATTCCAGGAAGTAAATACTATATGAATTATCTGTCCTCCTCTAGATGGCCATAGTCAAAAAGGCTAGGGGATGTTTTTTGACTTGATTTCTCAGCGAAATAAAGCATGGAGAAAAGGATGGATGGGTGGGTTTGTTTGAATATTAAAAATGTGGTGCTCAGATGCAGTGTAGTTCCACTTTAAGTAAAATAGTTCAGAACACAGTTACTTGCAATATAGACAGTATTCCATTCAGTGATGTCCATGGTAGCTCTGGTAACACAAGTGAACAACTGGAGGGATCCAAGGGCCAAAGCAAAGTACCACTCCAGTGGAACTGCAGTACTCCACTGGAACCACTCCGCTGAAACATGGCACTTTTAATACAGCACTTTAACTAAGGCGCTTCAGCAAAGGTAAGCACAAACAAATGCTCCAAGTAGTCTGCAAGTCTCCTCTCTTATCTTTTTCCCTCAGCCTTCCTTTTTCTTTATTCCTCACCCTCCAACATGCTCTTATTAACTTTCCTTTTTGCTATAACGCCCTCTCTCCTCAAACTCTCATCTCTTTACCTCTCCTCCCTACCTCACAACCTGTACATATCACCCTCACTTCTGCCCTCTGAATATTACTGCACTTATCGTCTCCTGTTCCTTCTGAGCCCACATAATGTCACCACTTACAAATCACAGCGGCATTTGCCCTCATATAAATCCTGCTCCCCCACCTCACCTTCCTTACCCTCCTACTACTATTAACTTCCAGGGATATCGCCCCAAACCCTGGACCTTCACCATCAAACTCCAACATGCAGAACCAGCAGTCTCCCCTCTCTGGCAGCAACCACAACTCTCATGCTCTTATCTCAATTCCCCTGCTTCCAAGAGCCCCCCCCCCCCCCCCCCCCCCCCCCCTTATGTGCCCTCTGGAATGCCCGCTTAGTTCCAAACAAACTTGCCTCTGTCAATGACCTCTTCCCTCTTCCTCTCCCACTTCCTCAACCTACTTGCTATTAATGAAACCTGGCTCCAGGAATCCGTCTGTCTCTCCAGCTGCCCTCTCCCATAGTGGCCTCTTCTGAACTTACTCACCCAGACTCAGAGGACGAAAAGGGGACAGAGTTGGACTTCTTCTTCCCCACAAAGCATCTTCCAGGTTCTTCTTACACCTCCTTCCCTGTCCCTCTGCTATTTTGAAGTGCACTGTATTCTTTTTTCTCCTGTTTGTCTGAGGATTGCAGTCATTTACTCATGAACATATAATGTATCTGACTGTCCCGTAATCTAGCCATTTTAAAGAAGTCCAGACTGCAGGAATCATTGATACATCCCTCCATTAAGAAACAGAGGCCCTGGGCATAAGAACAAAGGCATAATATAAATAAATAGGAAACGGACCTCAACCTCACACGGGAACAAATTATATATACGCAGTAGGAAAAAGGATAACTTAATATCCAAGGCAAAAAACAAGTTGGCAATAATAGAAGGGGCCCCAGTGATGGATATATTTTTTTATTTATTTCAGGTACATATATAGCGCCATCAATTTACGCAGCACTTTACATATATATATATATCATACATTCATATCAGTCCCTAACTATCAAGGGGTGTACAATCTAAGGTCCCTAACTCACATTCATACATACACATACTAGGGCCAATTTAGACAGGAGCCAATTAACCTACCAGCATGTCTTTGGAGTATGGGAGGAAACTGGAGTACCCAGAGGAAACCCACACAGGCACAGGGAGAACATGCAAACTCTAGGCAGGAGGTGCTGTGGCTGGGATTCGAACCAATGCCTAGTACTGCCAGGCGGAAGTGCTAACCATTTAGCCAATGTGCTGTCTCGTATATACAAACATAATATAGGAAATGGGGAAAAAAGAAGTAAGGGAAACAAAAAATATATATATATGTGTACTCAATATGTATTGAGTCACCATATCACATTTATTTAATTTATTCCATTTGCTTTTTTTTTTGTATATACATTTTTTGGGTCATATTGTTTGGCTCAATAGTCATCACAGGGGTTGGTTTTTTGGGTAGCTCATTTCTCACAACATTCCACTGAAACTGCCCTACTTAAACTCACTAACAACCTACTACCTGCTAAAACCAATGGTGATTACTCCATACTCATACTCTTAGACTTTTCCACTGATTTTGACACAATCAACCACCCGCTCCTCCTCAGTCAGTAAACTCCACTCCCTTGACCTCCGTGACTCTGCTCTTTCCTGGTTCTTCTCTTATCTATCTCAGTGCACTTTCAGCGTCACATACAACACCAACTCCTTTGCCCCTCTTCCTCTTTCTGTTGGGGTACTACAAGGCGCCATCCTTGGGCCCCTCCAATTCTTCCTCTACACCTCCTCTGTGGGCCAATTGATAACCTATCATGGCTTCCAATACCATCTCTACGCTGACGACACCCAGCATTCTTGTTATACTCACTGTGGAACCTAAGGGGTTAATCCCCCACATTGTGTAAAAGGCTGCTTTATCCTGCATTTTCTGATCCTCCGCTTCTTCTACCTTCCCCAATCCATCTGCTGATAGTACAGAGCTCTAGGAGGCACTCTGCACATGCTTAGTTTAGTGTGTATTGTTACAGAGTTTTTTTTTTTCTTTGGGATGGTGCATGTGATCAGCACAGGTCCAATCAGCACTATCGTGACAGGGGGTCACATGTCTGATAAAGGGGTCCTGTGAGGCTCTGAAACTTTGCTTTTGCTGTAACTATGTGATCGCTTATTGAAGCTTTGGACCCACATTAAGGAGACCCTTGATGTGCTGGTGACATTCTTCTCCTTGGACTTCTTTCGGTTCCAGCCGATGGTCTCTGCAGCACCCGCCTATATACACAGCCATTTATTAATGCAGAAACATGTGCATTAGGATTGTGCATTCGGGATCTACTGCTACTCCCAGTGGTGACCACCCAAAAACTCACTGTTACATCAGTGGTGATAAAGTGGGCTTTATTGAAGCTGGAACAAGCCCTGAAAGCAAGCTCTGGCTGGACAGGTTCAACAATGGCAGGATTAATCCAGTATCACATACTGGAGCAACTATAAGTGCAGCAAAGTAAATGCCATTTGTTCCCTATGAAACAGTCTTGCCAGAATGCTCTAGGCAGTCAAAAAAGGAACAATGTTAATGCAACTATAGCACAGCACTCTACCGACTCGATGCTTAAATGAAAGTGTATGGCCACTTACCTTCAAGCATCGGGTTGGATGATTGGCGTATTATACTCTCCATATTGGCACTTCTGGATCAGTGAAACTGGACTTCTGCTCCTTCCTGATTTCCAGCGGGGAAGCACTATGAGTCTTGGGCTTCGGGCAACGCTACATGCTTCCTAAGATCGCAATGCAACTATAACAACTATAAATTATACCACAGGATAATTTAGCCTAATGTGTGTAGAACCCCTGTCTAGCCCATGGGCAGAATATTTGTGTAGCAGGGCGCCTGCCGCCTATGTGAATCCCCTGCTCACCCCCCCCCCGTCCCCCCCAGCCAGTGTGTTGCCAGCTGTGTGAGATGAGCACTGGGATGCATGTCCTCCAGTCTGCCTCCCCTCCCTTGCTTCCCATGGTGGCTGTGGGCTGTGTCTCCCCACCTGCACAGTGTATAAGGGTTTGGACCTCAACATCCAGGATTCCCTGCCAGAAGAGGAGGAGGGAGCAGGAAATTTCCCAGGCAAATCTGCAGATATTGTGGGATATTGTGGGATTAGCAGTGTAGACCCGTAGCAATGGGTGTCTGCACCAGGGAGACAGAGGGCCACAGAGGGCTTGTGCGTGTTCATAGAGAACTGAAACACTGATAGTCTCTTGTGCTGCGGAAAGACAGAGAGTGCAGGCCTACTGCTGGGGTCTGGGCACTACACCCGAAGAGAGAGAGCCTGTTGCTGGGGTGTCCGTGTACACAACCAAGTACCCTAGGAACTCAGTCATTAAAAGGGCTTTTGTGGTGCTGAAACCAGGGCTGCAGGGAACTAGTTGCTGTGCGTGCCATTAATACTCATTAATAATCAGCAAGGGAGAATGTCACCAGCACACCGAGGATCACCAATATGGGTCCAAAAGTTTAATGAACAATCACATAGTTACAGCAAGGCAACGTTATGGAGTCTCACAGGACCCCTTCATCAGGCGTGTGACCCCTTCATCAGGCTGTGCACAGCCATCCAAAGCAGTGTGCCAAAGCTGACATGGAGAGTGATCAGAACAGAGTGATCTTGGAAGAGTGATCAGCACAGGGCCAATCAGCACTGTCCAGACAGAGGTCAGGGGTTCTGCATCCATCTAGAGCAGAAATAAAACTCCTCCTACGGGCTTTAACATGCGCTCAGCTGGACACAGATAGAAGTCACAAGACTGCTCTACCTGCTGATGAGAAAAGGTATTTAGCAGTTTATATTTACTAGAATAATGGCATTTCAATGTTCTGTGTACTGTGGGAGACCAGATATAGTGGATGCAGGGTCCTGAGTTTAGAAACATTTTAATGTATTATAGAGTTGATGGCATGCATACATCGCGCAGTTAAAGTTAAATTCCAATTCATCATTTTATCAGAAACTGGAATCCTGGCTGCAACAGGAAGTGAAGCTCTTAGCAGTGGTATTACTACCACTAGTAAAGGTGACAAATTCCCACTCAGGGCTCTTGATTGTTAGGGAGCAACCAGCCAAGGTGTCCCAACAACCATAGTTTATTCCCACTCAGCTCATTCAGCTGCAAAGTCAGGAAATCCTAGCTAACAGATGAATGTAAACAAAACAGAGTGGGGTCACCCTCAAACACTCAAAATTCACACTAAACCCATCAGGTCTGGTATGGTTTTTTAAGGAAGTCCCGAAAAAAAATGCTTGAGTCCCCCCCCCAGATTCCATATCAAACTTTTATCTAAGCGTGCAGCCTGGCTGGGCTGTTGAAGCATACCAGGCAATTTGCCCTCAACATGGGAAAAGTACCTTGCCTCCTCAGGTTGATGAGAACAACCTCTTCCCCACAACCCTGGCCAGGTGTTTGTGGGGGTCTGTGGGTGGAGTCCTATTGAAATCTGGAATCCCACCTAAAAATAAAAGGATACCTCCCAGATTCCATCTCCTATTTTCATTCATAAAAAAATACAGATTGTAAATAAACACATGCACTTTATGACAAGCCCCTTATTTTTATGGGCATTGGTCATTGTGACTGATGACTGATTCACTGACCATAAGGTCCTTTTTTTCCTCATACCTTATGGCCAGTGAATTGTGGAGAAGCATTTGCCATCCTAGACCTCATTGTTTAGTGAGAGGTCCCTAATTCATCCTGATTTTATGGGAGATCCATCTGGGAGTCCTGGACTCATCTGCTGGGCTTAATATCTGCTTTGTTTGCCCAATCTTTTGGGTGGTCAAACTTTCCGGTAAGAGGCCAAATGATTGGGTGAAAGGTGATGGATTCTCTGTTTCCTTCTGGCTTTTGGTTCACTTGGCAAGACCACTACTGGATCAGATGAATTTTTCATGGACATTATTTAATGAACTATATTGTTGCAAGAAGCAAAAACTATTTTCCTTCTCTAGTGGGAATTTGAACATTATTTTTTATTGGTTATTACTATCTGAAGTGTTACACTAAGTGTTTTTAGTTTGTTTATTTTTGCCTATTTACTGTGCCAGCTGCTAATTTTATTTGCAGATTCCAAGCGCAGGTTTTCTATTTAATAGTTCTCTGATACCTCCCCCTGCTCTAGAAACTTGGAGAACTTTCTAGAAGCAAAGGGGGGTGGGTGAGGGGGGGCTGATCTGTATACATAGGGGAATCTGGCCAATCCCCAGGCAGGAGGCCTGGCATGGTGACTAGATCAGCCCTTAAATATCAGAGAGCCTGGTCAGCAGGGGAGTCGGGTGGAAGATAGAGTGACCAAGTGCTGCTGGTGTGGAGTCTGGGAGGGGGCCCTAGAGGACGGAGGTCTGCCTACAGGCTTCAGCTGGACAGAAGGACCTCCACTGTCCCACAGTCTACCGGGGAAAGACACCTGTCAGCAGGGAAGGAGCCAGTCCAGCATAAGGCCTGAAAGCAGCTTCAACCTTTAAAGCTACAGAAACAGGATAGTGTGAGTACTTCTACACCCCCAAGCCAAAAAAAGGAGAGGGCGTTCAGGTGCAATACCCAACTAGTTCTCCCTGGGACTACATTCTTTGTGTGTCTCGGAATCCCTTGCTGTGAGATACTCTCAAGACAGCCTGGTGGATGAGGAGATTTTCATCTGGGGTCTGAGAAGGTTCATTTAAGGAGACCAAGTGTTCCTTTCAAAGACTGTATGCTAATCTGCGAGAAGGGAAGCCACTTCTGAGGAGTAGAGAGCTTAGGATTCATTTTTTTGCTGTTTGCTGGATTCTTGACTTTTTTCCTAAGACGTTTATGCTCCAAGTTGTTCAGTTCCATTGGGCATCTTATATACCCCTATACCCCATCCAAGTTGTTAACCCTAATAAAACAACAAAAAAACAAGCTAATGGAAAATGCCCACCCCTCCCTTCCTTCCATCCACCCCTCCCTTCCTTCCATCCACCCCTTCCTTCCTTCCTTCCACCCCGTCCTTCCACCCACCTCTTCCTTCCATCCACCCCTCCCATAACTCCACCCACCCCTTCCTTCCTTCTGTTAAGAGGGAGCAGTTGGCGGTGGGGGGGAACGGTAAAATGTCAGCTCAGCTGTGAGCTGAACCCCCCCAGAAAAAAAAATATCTACAGCCCTGCCTGCTATTGATTCTATATTTAAGTTATTGAAGGAACAAGAAGACTTGCCATCACTAAATGGGTGAGTAAGTTTAATACAATCCATACTCATTTTATTTGCCTATTAGTGGGAATTCAATGCACAAAAAATGCGCACCAAGTTTTATTACCACACCACAGTGCCCAACTGGTTCCCATTGCATTGTGGTCTGCTGAAACCCAAGTGTGTTGATGTGCGCTGGCAAGGTGCTTTGGGATGTCATTCTAAATGTTAGGCACCACAATGCAACTGTAATACCAGTTGTGCATTAACAATGCAGTATTAGTGCATGTATAGGTCAGAAGCCAGCCTTAAGCCTCTGATTGTATCTGATAACCAGTGCCATTGTTATGCCATCAATAAATAAGGACACGTGGAAGTCCTATTAGAAACATAAAATCTTATTTTCTGGTTTCTGTACAGCAGTGTACATTTGTTCATGTATTTATTATCAAAAAAATTATGCAATCTGATTATAGGGCAGGTGGATCATTTCTCTGGGCAGAGAGCATTTTGATTTAGCAGAACCTGACTTCTCCTCCCCGTGACTGTGTTCCATCAAATTGTTACCAGCAGCAAGGATAGCAGAATACAAGACCACTACTTGCTATGTGTGTAGAGCTTTGTAAAACTGTGAAAAGGAGCACTAACAAAAGCAACACAAATCTTTGATCATAATGTAAACCATTAGAAGTTTTTTAAAATAAATAGAAACTCTTCCTATATTTTTTCCTGCATATCAGTTTATACAGTATATGGACACACATGCCTAAGGAACTGATTGTAGACATTGTATAGTGATGTTGGCTACTAGTTCCAAAAACACAGTGTCCCTCTCAGTGCTGTCATCTGATTGGTTCCCAATCACATGATCATTATGAAAGTGTTTTAAGAAAAGCGCCACACCCTCTAACTCCAAAGCAGCAAATTCCCAACTCAAAAAATCAAAAAAATTATTTTTTTTTTTTTTTTTTTTGCTTAAACAAATAAATAAAAGGAATGCGCTAATTGAGTAAATAATACAAAGTGAATATAAGAAAAAATATAAAATAAAAAAATAATAAAATAAAAATAAAAAATTCTGCAAAAAAAGTGTCCATAAATAATGTCCAAAAAAATTTTTTTTAATTAATGTCCACACTGTATTAGAACCACCACCAAAAAATGTTTTTAAATCACCCAACCGAGCTCAAAAAATGAACATTTTTTGAGCTCGGTTGGGTGATTTAAAAACATTTTTTGGTGGTGGTTCTAATACAGTGTGGACATTAATTAAAAAAATTTTTTTGGACATTATTTATGGACACTTTTTTTGCAGAATTTTTTATTTTTATTTTAATATTTTTTTATTTTATATTTTTTCTTATATTCACTTTGTATTATTTACTCAATTAGCGCATTCCTTTTATTTATTTACATGATCATTATGACAACAAATCATAGTGATCATATGAATGACCTGTTATTATGCCTCCTACATAATGGGGAAAGTTGGGACTGATAAATTGACAGCAAAAAAAAAAGTTATATAGTTGATTCACACCCAATTCACACTCATGTGGCTTTGGACATCAAAGTTGCATGACAAGTTGTACCCCATGTTTTTCCAATGATAACCATTTATATATGTGCAAAGTAAAGTCACAGCGACTTCAGCATAGTTCATACACTACATTGGTCCGGCTTTCATGCAACTTGAGGGCCATAAACTTCAATGTTACCCTCAAAGGTTGCATGAAAGTCATACCTGAATGTTTTACATGCAACAGTGGTGCAACAGTAGGTCCAACTTTGCAGAGGCATGACAGGTCACATCCAAGTTATGCCCATCCAAAGTTGAATCAAAGTTGCAACAAAATTACACCAAAGTTGCACTTCAAAGTTGGGTGACTTTGGAGTTGTACAAGTGTGAATGGAGTCAGTTATAATGAAGTTCAGTGAACATTAAATGCTATGTAATGCATTTACCTTGATAAATGCATAGAGCCATGTTTGAATTCTGAGTTCTAATTGTCTAGCAATCAGCGTTAGAAAACTATAGGCTACTACCAGCATAACCATGCAACTCAAAGTATCGCTCAGCCTCACGATATCTATGTCCTGTGACTGTAAAGTCTGAATGGAAATTGCATGAACATGAGTCTTCTGTGCCCTGATGTTGTCAAATACATAGATAGCATGGGGGAAGAGCTGAAAGACACCATTAATTGCATGGAGTCGTAGATAATAACAGGCAGTTTCCAATGGTGATTGCTGAACAAGCAGAGCACAAACAGATCTCAAACATGATGATAGCCAATTATCAAGATACGTATGTTATTTGGCTGTTTAATGTTCATTGAGTAATTCTAGGCTGAACTTCCACTTTAGGTACAAAATGCAATATATTACAAATTTTTTTTGTCCATCAATTTAAAAAAAAGGTAGTTTAATAAAAGAGAGTACTAAAAAGCCTTATATATCCTTTAAAACTCAGGTGTCAAACTGGCAGCCCTCCAGCTGTTGCCAAACTAC